TTATCATTACTGACTGAACATTTAAATGTATTACCATATTTATTCAAATCTAAGATGCACTTAAATTTTTGTGCTCACCTCATTTTTTTAATAGACAACCTAAGACAAATTTATGACAACAGAATTGATTGTTGACATAAATTTGTTTGGTATTCATTGAAAGTAAAGTTATATATGACTGTCTTCCTTGGAATTGAAATTAGAAACCTCTTCGCCCACTGTGTTAGGTAGGCTCTTATTAATCAACACTGGATTCAATGTTTACATCTTCTCACATGCAATTATGCTTGGTGCCTTTTAAAGCATAAGAAATGCAACTTTTCTTGAAAGACTGCTGTATAACTTGTTCTGGAATTTTCACCAAAGTATTTATGATATTACTGTAAACATGAATGAACACAAACAGCAAAATTAAAGTGACATTGAACATTGATGACAAGTTCAACCAATCTGCCATTTTAATTGTCAAGGTCAAAAGTGGAAATTGATTGTTATCTTAATTTTGCTGTCTGTGTGCATCCAGCTTAATAGAATGATGAGATTAAGCTAAGTTGATCTCTAGAGTATTTTCTGTTACTAGTATTGGTCTAATAGAATCATTAAAATGATGCAATGAAATTATTGACAGAAAAATAAGATGCATGGAATTAGAGGTCACTAATTATGAAGTATTACATTGAATCTAAGATGCAATTTATTTTCAGAGTTATTAAAACCTGAAATAACATGTGCCATACATTCAAATAAATATGGTAAATAAGAGAAAGATAATTGCTGAATTAGTATGATAATTACAATAACACCACACTTTTCTCATACATTCAGCACTGATGTGTTTATTAATATGATTGACCTCCTTTAAGGACCAGCCTCAGGTTTAAGTATTGCAAATTGAATGTTAACCAAGGTTCTTAAATTGGAATATAAGATACTGGCTCTCAATATGTGACTAAGGCCAGGATGTCAGTTAGGTGGAAAAAGGCAAGGCTGATAAAATGGGTATTCAACAAACACAGGCTCAGCACTTTAGAAACTTGGGAAATATGTAACAAGACACTTAAAGGTACTTGCATTAACAGTAAGGAAAGCAATGCTTTACCTTCAACATGGCATGCATTTGTGGATTACTCCCTAAAAAGGGATTAACAGAAATTTGAATCCATTTTGATGTTTTTATTTAAGTATATATTATTTTATTTTTTGTTATTATATTCAGCCATTTTTATTAATCCTGTTTGTTAATATTATGCAATGGAGCTATGTAAAATCTTAAAATTTTTATTCAAATGCCATGACATCAGAAGAATGGAATTAGAAGCATATTCTTATTTAAAAATCTTGTCTAACATTCAATTTGGAACACACAAACCCTGAGGCAGGAAGAAAATATTTGTGTTAATAAATGTATTTGTTCTGGAAGTGTGAGAAAGATGTTTTATTGTTTGACTAGTTTCAGCTTAGAATAAAGTGGTGGTATGATGATTTTTATATTTTTTGTTAATGAGGTTTTTAATGATGAAATTTAGCATTAAAAACTTAACAAATGTTACACTTTACTTGAAACTTATGAAAATTTTTATTAAAGCAAATTTTGTCATTACTTCTGTTTGTAAATGATTTAGATTTTAACCATTCTGTGTGTGTAAGTATTTATAAATTTTTGATATTTTCTTTAGAAAGATTATCTTGAATAAAATGAAGAGAACGAAAAGATTTATGGAAAAAGATATGCTAAGTTAGACAGAATGTTAAAAATTGATTATTCTTCTTCTGCTTAAATCTTGAACAAAGACTTGACTTTTCTTAATTCATAAACCAAGTTATTTTGCTACAGATCTATTCCAAATTTCAATTGTCTAGAACTGTAGCAAACCAAGTACCCATGCTAACATTTGACACATTTTTGTATTATTCTCTCTCTAGTATTAATGCTTTACAAATCACAGTGTCTTAGAGATTCCTCTTCAGTATTATATAATTACTCATGCAATGAACACATTCTTGAGAGATGTTCAAACAAGTTTACATTCACCTATTTAGTGAGATATGTCTGATGTAAACAGTACAGTCAATCCCCTATAATGCGGGTTCATATAATGCGGATTCGTATATCGCGGTGAAAAAATTGCAACCGTATTCGTATGAAGATGCTAAAAGGGACTCTTAAAATGAGGTAAAACATCATCGCTGACTCGTGTCGCGACAGGATTGGTCGAATCTGGACCAATAGTGGACGAGCAGCCGAACTACTTACACACTACAGAGAGTTTAGGTGGGTAAGTTGAGTTTAATATCGTCTGTACAGTATATAAATTAGGTACTGTAAGTCTAATACAGTACTGTAATTTTATACATCTCTTGTGAAAATAAACATTTCTTATTCAACGGCCATAAAAATGATTTCTATTAATGATGTCTCCAAAGTTCAGTGAATTTTTCGCAGAAAAATAACTTATCAGAAAACGCACCCACTGTTCGGTGCACTGCTCCGCGACAAAAACAAGCTTAAGCAATGGTGTTGTCGAACGGTGCACACTCAGTAAGTAATCCTACAATTTTTTGTTTATAGCACAGTTTATACGGATTATTGACAAAAAATTGTGTGTTTTGGAAATGTTGAGTGAAATTAATCTAGAACTGATTAATTTTATGGAACAAAACTTTTCAAACAGCTGTAGTCCGTAAACTGCACAAGTGCTGGGCTGTGATTGGCTCATGTATTTAAGGATTCCTACAACGTGAATTTTTATGAAGTGGAACATATCTACTGCGTTATAGGGGGTCGATTGTATTTGTATAGTCATACATATAACTGATGCATCTATCAGTGACAATTAACCACTGGCGAAATACTTCTAATGACTCAAGTGCTTATGATCAGATATATTTAACATATTCACAAGAATTTTCAATAGTATTAACATTTAACTGCTGGTGGTGGCTACATTACTATGTATACATTGTTATATGTCCTACTGTTGTTATAAAATGAACTTTCCATATGAAAAATCTCCAATAAAACAGCACTCTAGGATAGTGTTTTATTGGAGAGTTTTTCATACTGAAAGTTTATTTTATAGGGCCAATTTCCTGTAGAAAGTCCTACTGGGAGGCATTCCCTTAGTAAATTGCCTGCTTGTTGCAGTCATATTCCATCAACCAACTAAAGTTAGAAATCATAGATATTTGTTTGTTTTATTATATTGTATTTCATTAATTTGACATTTCTGTAGTTAGTTACTGTTTTATTTATTTTTTGAGAGAATTGATATTTAGTTTTTTCAGTTTTTTGATAAAATTTTAAACTTTGTAGGATGATAGGCTTTTAACTTCATATTGAATATTTATTAGTCAAAGAATGCAATCCAGAAATTTTTAGTCCATTACATCTGTGTTAATATTGTAATTTATTTAATACATTGTAAAAAATTGAATGTATTTCATTAGATATTTTATATCTCAGAAACAGACTAAAAACTTGTGGATTACATTTTCTATGTGCACCATGGATATTACAATTATGCCTCACTTAATGATGCATAATATTTCTCAGAATGTATTAAAGCAGCGGTCCCCAATCTTTTTATCGCCGCGGATCAGTCAATGTTTGATATTTTATTGCGGCCCACTGAGGGGGACATTGATTGTTTATATTTTAGATTGATTTAATTTAATAATTTTAATTTAAAATTGTATTTAAACATGCCTTCAAACTAAAATACAGTTACACCAAAAAATGAATATAATGTGATTTAACATTTGAACTCACTAGAACTCTAAATCAATGAGAACACTGAACTTGTTTTTTTGCAACAAGACGGTTCCATCTGGGGGTAATAGGAGACAATGACACCCGAAGTGTGTTTCTTATGTCCAATTTATTCCGTTGTTCTATCGTCCATTAAAAGTCGCACAAACCCAAGAGAAATACACAATAGTAAATAAAATGGAAATTACCAGTAATTTAATGTTCCTTGGGCGGCCTGGTACCATTTGATCCACGGACCAGTACCAGTTCGCGGCCCGGGGGTTGGGGACCACTGTATTAAAGTATTAAGTACAGGTTGTGTTTAGACAAACCTGTCTAAACACAACCTGTACTTAATACACTTCTCAAATAGGCTATATGTAATGCAATAAGTATTTATGTATCTGAATGTAGAGAAGGTGGACAGCTACAAATTTTTCAACACTACTATAATCTTATGAACCTCCATCATATGGGCTGTCCACCATTATGCACTGCATACCTGTACTGTAGTTTCAATAGATACTTATGTTATTATGACCAGGTTAATTATTCTTTTTATTTGCATTTGAAGGTTGAATTGACAAATTATTTCATTATGAATATAATTTTTTCTTAATATAATTTCATCCATCAAAAAACTTTCCCTAATATTTCTTAGGCAACAAATTATGCTTTTAAATAATGTAAAGTTACTGTATTACAATGATAAAAAACTTAAATAGTAATGTTTTCTCAAATGATTGCTTTTGTGTTTTGAAGATTGTCAAAAATAGTTATTATAATGTAATATATAAAGGTTTAGACTCTTAATTAAAAGGAATGTTTGCTTATTTTCATGAGAAGAAATACTTTCATTTCTATCTACTCACTTATGTATATTAAATTAATTGTCAAATTTCTTTGTTTTATTAAATATAATATGCAAATCACATTAGTTGATTTGTATGTCAAGAAAAATTAATTTCATTGTAATTTGGCACTTTGTGATAGTGCAGTTTAAATAGGAATAAGTTACTTTTAGAATTTGTTAAGTCTTATTTAAGGAACAACTGTTTTATTTTATTGAGGGATTTAAGCTAATTTAAATAAGATTAACAAAGTTCTGTTGTATTACAAAATAATTTTAAAAAGAAGGATTTAACCATTGTTTATAACAATATACTATTGATGGGTTGGGGTTTTAAATTACTTTGAATAGAGTAAGCAGTTAAAACTGGACGATAATATGTAATGATGACAACCATTACAGGCAATCTACTCGCCATTTTCTTCGTTCCTATCTACCTCCTCATGGCTGACAGCATCGGTGTTTAATACAACTCTTTCAGCGCAGCCAACTTTGCTGCAAATGCAGTCCTATCTTTGGAGATGTACATCAGATTGCTGTTAAAAATCCACAAACACAATGACCATACGTCCGTCCCTTCAAACCACACCCATCATGAGGTCCGGTCGACGCTTCACCTTTAAACTGCGATTATTCAACCTCTGTCTTTCATGCAACATACCATATTGTGCATCGTAGTCGACAAAGTCACCACCGCCAAAAACTAGTTTCTTCAACGCTGATCAGCCAAACCGCATTATGTATTGTCTGTCGCCACCGTCGGCTACTTATTCTACTTCGCTACTACTACAGCTACTGCAAACACTAAGCAGCGGCTGACAAATAGTCGACAACATAACTTCCACTACCCTCGTAATACAGGTTATTGTTTTCTTTCTGTCTCTCTGTAGTAACAGAGAGTTTGCATCAGTTTATTTGGACCAGAAGTTATATTTAAATAATAAATTTACAGAAAAATTTTATGTTGAATATAATGTAAAATTTTAAAACTAGATTATTAACAGGAAAAACCTGATGCAAACTCCCATCCTCTTTATGTCCTTCCAATGGACAATTTAACAAGTAAAAACAAAGCACAGAGGAAAAAATTACCATGAAGTTATTTAAAACGAAGATCATTTCTCTCATATTTAGATCACGGTCACCACCACCACGCCGGCGCTATTCCAGAAGCGGATCTCGCAGTCCTCGCAGAAGCATAAGCCGTTCTCCCTCCAGAGAAAGAAGGTTGGTTTGTTTTTATTTATTTTTATAATTTGGCAAAAGTTACTTTCTAAATAAGACATCCCTTCTTTTGTGTAATTTGGATATTCTTAACTGTGTGGATATAATAATTTTTAAAGATATTTGCAATAATATGGACATCCCTACTGTATTTTCTAGATTTATCAATCATAAATTATTTTATGAAGAATTATACCTAATTTTTCCTTTAATTTTTTAAAACATGGATTATAGTTCTGAACTGCAAGTTTAGAATAATTAATTTAAATAAAATGATAAACGTACTGAATACAATTAATGCTGTGAAAATACTAGTAGTCTGTTCAGTATACATTATACAGTAGAGCGTCGTTTATCCGAAAGAATTCCAGTCGGCAAATTAAATTTTCGCTAGTGCTGTGGCGCTGCAATCTTTGGCTATATCTTGGGCTATCCCNTTTAACATTTACAATTTGAATAATTTTAAAAAATTTGTCATAAAAGATTAATACATCTTAGTTATGCTAATATAGTCATTATTTTAATTATTCTATTTAAAATAAATAACTATATTACATTTAAACGTACAATATATATGTATAATTGATATAATTGCTTATAATTGATATGATTGCATAGATGTATGCATTTATATTAATTAAAAAGATACAATTTCACATTGAAAGAGGTTACAAAATCTTAAGGAAAGCAATTATTTATTGTGAAATTGTCACAATGCTAGGCTGCAATTTTTTGCCACAATGCACTTAAGTTTAGTAGTGTCTTGTCCCTGTACATCATACTTTTCCTGTTAACATTGAAGTCATGCCAGTCATGTATCTAACTCCATTAAGGAGAAATTTTTGAACTGAAATATTGTGACTTCCAAAATAGAAGTTCATATATAGTTAAGTGGGGCCTAAGCTTTCTATATCCAGACTTATCTTTCATCTATCTAATACTGTTGTCAAGATTAAGGACAGATAAATGGATAGATAGCCAAGCAGACATATGGATGACAGTGGGATTTATAGGTCTACAATTTTTTCAAATTACAACCTCATTTTCAATTGTTTTAACATTTAAATTTTTGTTTTAGAAAGATTTCAAAATAATTCTAAAACAAGCATTCAAGTGTTCTAAAATTTTTATAATTTTGAATACGATGTTTTATAACCAGAGAATAACGCATTTTAAGCTGGCAGAACAAATTGAACCAATTGAAATGCTAAGTGATGAATTTAAAAATTGAGTGTTTCATTATTTTTTTTTAAATTATGTATTCTGCTTAATAAAAGTTTGCAGATAATCAAATTAATAATGGGCAAAATAGGTACTCAATGAAAAAATTTGTTAAATATTAATTACATGCAAATTGAGTTATTCACAATATAATTTTTATACAAATCAGTGAAATATAAAAGAATTGGTCATATTTTACATACAGTATTCCACTGGTATTAGACATAAGAGAGTGTAATAGGGTAACAACAACAATTGACACTGTAAGATAACATATTTATAAAAGAATTGGCTGCGAAGTAGTCTACCAGAAGAATTTTTCGGATTGAAGAGACGTTCACTTNCATTATAACTGCAATTATAAGCTTAGTAAATAAAATTACATATACAATTTATGTTTATATATAGTTCTTGAAATTTGTAAATATACATCATCTTAACACATTATAAAGACAAAAAAATATGATATATTTAGGTTTTCTATCCTTGATGTATCATGACTTTTTCTTCATCATTTTATTAAATAATGATTGTCAGAGAGTAATTAATGAAACCATCATCTTACTGTTCTTTGTTTCATAAACATCCTTCTAATCAATAGATCAGCTTGTTACTAATGAATGTTATTACTTATAGTTAGGCTGGGTTTTGAACAAAATTGTTTTCAAAAATTTTAAAAATATATTATGTTTTCAATAGCTAAATCAGTTAAATAGCATAATCATGAGAGAAATTCAAATTTTAATAAAAATTGCCAAAAGATATGTTATTGAAATGATGAAAAGAACAAGAATTCAGATTTGTCCTGTTGCATACAGGCCTGAGACAATTGTCACCAATTATGAGATAAATTAGCACTAAGAACACTGTGTGTGTGTTTAATGACAAAAAGAATGTTTTTGCAAGTATTTTTGACCTTTTCAAAAATGTCTTCATCAGATGAATGGCAAAAGAACATATTTTTGTCTCCTACTAAAACATAGCAATTTTTTTCACTATCAGTTAACTCTTCTTAGGCAGATGATATGAAATTATGCTTTAGTGGAGATGCCAAATGTTTGAAATGTTAAGTTTCAAACAAGGATTATATCTGTATCAAAATTGTTAAACTGTTGTTATATATTTAGCACAATATCAATAAAATTTTATGTAATTTTATATATAATTTACTCTTCAGCATTCTGATTGGAAATTATTTAAATACAAGATTTTAGAATTTTAATCCTGATTTCATTTCATTACATGCATGCTTAATATGATAATTTAGAATTTATATTTATGATATTGTATCTATTTTATTATATCTCTAACTGCATTATTATTTAAAAAACACCATACCTTTAAAATGCAGTCTATTTTAAACACTTATCGAACGTTTTCGGTCAGATTCACAGACCTTCATCAGGATCGAACTATCAGAATTAAACTTTGCAAAACGGAAATTCCAAAATGCACGTTCTATACTCTTCTCAATTGCGCATGCCCATTATTATAATTTTAATGTCGCCGCTTTCCATGCCGATGCTATTTTGTTTGATTCACGGAAATTTATATTTTGCCCTTTTTCTTTGCACTTGTAAATGTGCCAGGCTTCTGCATACTTTAGATGTCTTCTATTTTCCACTTTTTGTATGACATCTGCCTTGCTCCATTTGATTTCGATCTCTTAATTAAGATCACATAATTAGCCAAAGCTGTGATTGGTTGTTTAAATCTTACATTCTTTTTGTGCTCCTTCAATCTTTCATTTAACGATCTTTTAGTGGCTCCTATATAATATATCTCCTTATTCAGCTTCTTATCATACAACGGTATTCTGTATACACCTGGGATCAGCCTCCTGTCAACGGGTGTTTTGTCATTTCTTAGCATTTGGAATATTGTCGTGTTTCTCTTATACGCTATTTTCTTGTTGCTTTCTATTCCTATTTTTCTGTATATGTTACTTAACTGAGCCGTGTATTCCATTACGGTGAACTCCTTTTTCTCTCTATCATCTTTATTTTTATTGCCTTCTTTTTCTGCTCGTATTAAGGCTTTTACTTTATTCTCCTTAAGTCCTACATCTCTTGCTAGCTTTGCGATGTATTCAAGCTCTTTACACGTATCATGAATCCTGCTGCAATGAGTGTATGCTCTTTTAATTAGTGCTCTAAACGCTGCTAGTTTGTAGCTTGTTGGGTCATGCGAGGACTGTGGTATCAAATCAGGAATGTACGTCGGCTTTCTATATACTTTCGTATTGATTACCCCTTCTTTGTCTACTTTGATCTCTATATCTAAGAAATGTATTCTTTTTTGATTTTGCTGCTCTAGTTCTAATTCCAGGCCATAATTATTGCTGTTTATATCTCTAATAAATTGGGTATGTCTGGTTTATTATTCCAAATAATAAACCAGGTACGTCGATGACGTATTTATTATTTAAATTCTGACAGTTCGATCCTGAAGAAGGTCTGTGAATCTGACCAAAAATGTTCGATAAGTGTTTAAAATAGACTGCATTTTAAAGGTATGGTGGAGAATTGTATCTATTTTATTTATAAACTTTTATTAATTAAGTAGTCTCTTTCTGTTATGCAATATGTGATAAATAATTAACTTTTGTTCCCTTTTATAATTCATAAATGCATGGATCACAATGTAACTATTTCTTCTTTCAAAAATGTTCAAACAATTCTATTAGACAATGCACTCTTTAAATTTACTGTTTGGTTATTAAGTATGTGAAATGGAATAACAGTTTTAATAGCTAATTCTGATAATGATATTGATTAGGATCTTTCAGATTAATGACTTCTAGAACAAAGCTTTGTTCTAGGAGTCATTAATCCTATTTTGAATTTTCTGGCTTTGTGATTTATTATTTTATTACAAAATTGTATGAAACAGTATAGAATTATAAAAAAGAATTTTTTACTCACTCTCAGAATGATAAGTAACTAATACACACTCACACAAGTTAGAATTAATATAAAACTGTAGGATGTAGTGTGGCTAAAATGGCTACAATTGTGTTTATTTACAAAAGTGATGACCAAAAAACGTTTCTCAAAAAGTTGAATATTCAAATTTTTGGCTATTTGCTTTAAAAGCAGGGCTGTGGAGACTCACGTAAAAATCTACTGACTCTAACCAGGGATGGACTTGTTAACAAATTAGGCCTGGGAATTCTGATGTCATCACTTTACCTGAGAATAAAAGCTTCAATAAATAGTCCTAATAGAACATAGAAACTTTTTATTTCAAGCTAAAAGACTCCTCTAAGTAATGACAGTCAATATATAAATATGTATTTGATAATTTTTACTTTCCCAGCTGTTATATATAACAGAAGGAAAGTGTAGAGATAGGCTAAAAAGTGACCACCCAAATTTTTTTCATTTAAGGACTCAACACACCTTGAGCTGTCAAGAAATGACAAAGATTTGGAGTTTTTTTTTCTGTATGTATGGATGATAGTGTGGGAATCCTGTTTGAAATCCTGTAGTCTCAATAGAAGGGCAGCCTGCCCTTCTATTGAGACAGGATTTCTACATGGATTACTACAGGATTTCTGTGCATGCATTTTCTGATGAAAACACCAATGTGATTGTTTTAAGTGTGTAAAAATTGTTTTGTGGAATCAATACTTGTTAAAAATTTCTGCATAAGATGTTACCAAAGTCTTATGGGCAGGCAGGACCAACGAGAGAATGGGGGTAAAATTTTCTGGACCCAGGATTCACAGGAACCTGGACTTCATTCCACAACTGTTTTCTCGAGGCACATGTAAATTTTTCCCCTGGGTTGACATCATTCGACACCATTACTTATGGGCAAAATTTGAATGACTTAGAAAAAACATCTCAGGTGGGAACATCTTAACCAGGTTTTACTGTACCATTATAAAATGACAAAAAGCTTAATTTTGAAGGTAGAGACGAGTTTTATAAAAAATTGCAAACACTAATAATGAGTAAAATATTTATTAAGTCCAACAATACTGGAGATATGACACATTACACCTTCTATGTCTCCATCCTGTTGACTTTTATTTAAGAACCAAAATTTAATAGCATTAATGCCCCTTTATACACAAGCTATCTTGCCAAATTTCATTTCTTAAACTTTACCCACTCTCAAACAATATCTCAGAACAAATAAAGAAAATAAAAAAATTAGATGCCCCTACACAAATTCCCCCCTTTTTGGTTTAGGTCTCCAAATATGTAGATTTGCAAAAAAATTGGAGGGTCAAATTTGACACAATTCCAATAATTTTCTGTTTTATATATATATAAAACAGGTTGGGAGTTGGCAGATTTTTGACAACTCGAACTAAACCACCAAAACTCCACAACCCTGTTTAAAAGTATACAGAACTACTAATTTTTTCAACATGTCAACAGTACTGGGATCCTCATTTTAATTTTTAAGTAGATGACAAGACTATACAGTCTCCACTTAAGATGTCAAAGGATAAATGCTGTATACAAATGAAAAGATAGCCTCAAAATAAGTTTTTATATGGTCGTAAAGTTGTTTGGTATTGTTACAAATAACTTATTTTAAGAGCTGATTATCAGAAGCATACATTACTTTTTCTTTTGAATGTCTTAGCATGTTTAGATGAAGATGACAACAAACTCTTCATTTTTTAATGGCAAAGCATGAAATTTGGGTAATTTTTGAGTTTCTTATCTTCTAGTATCCTGCATTAGCTAGATGCAGGATACTAGAAGATAAATGTTAAAAATTCATTATATAACAAATGAATGAATAGCTTCTCTTTAGTAGGCTTTTTAATTAATTTTCCTTACACTCATAAATTTCACATGGTATTGTAATAAATCATCTTTATATATTAGAATATTAAATGTATTTTTTTTTTGTTGAATTTGACACCATAAATTTAGAAAACTTCAGTAAACTTAGTTGGTAAAACAATTTATATTTATCATATTTTGTTGGATATTCTTTCCTTTTCATTACTGTCTCAGTTCTTTGAGGCCTGATATCTCATGGTGTGATCACCCTAAACCAAGTTTAGCTGTTGGCTTCTATCAACTGTTTTGTTACTGGGCTTTTTGGTGTGAAACCACACTTTCAGCCTGGACCATAGTCATGACCTAAATCCAATATCAAATCTATTTCCCAGCCAAGACAGGACAGTAATAGTTTGGTCCCTGAACACTTTAGGCAACTTCTGGATCTACTGTATGAGATGCATCTTTCAGTAGAATGGAGCACCATTGCTTACTGTCTCCTTCAAAGAAATCTCCAATGGTGGGCAGCATTTTTGCTTCCAACACTGCTTCCTGGTATTTTTTTTTGCATCAAGTTTACCATCTATGACAGCAAAATATCCAAAACCATATGTAGCCAAGTAAGCCATTACACACACCTCACAGGATGCTTCATGGTGACCAAAGTGCACTTGAGCAAAAGATCTTCACTAGTTCAGTGACAAACAAATTTCACTCCATCACTTTGAGCTGCAAATCTTTGTAATTGTTGTTCCAAATAATCTTACCCCATCTTCTTGTGTCCCAGACCAATTGATACGTTTCTGAATCTGCTTTTTGTTGATGTATGGCTTCTTTCTTGGTGTTCTTGCTCATAGAAAAAAGTTGTGTGATCAATGGTCTAACAATTCTATCAGCAATTTGCATACCAGATGTCTTTTGATGATCTATGACAGTCTTGCAAGGTCAAACAACAGATTCTGCACATATTGCTGTTATTTTTGGTTTTCTACCTGTTTTTCTCTTCTAACACCTGACTTTGTAGTTCCACATCCAACCTAATTGTTATTTCTTTACATGTCTTCTTTTCTTTGCCAGACAAATCAGCATGTTTTGTTTTGTTAGGAGTGATAATTTCAGTTTTATCACATTCGCCTAAGAGAGATCATTGAATTTTGAGATTGACAAGACAATAGGTGCCAAAAAGGACGAAACTGTCAGTGTGGTTACTCAAATTTTCCTGATTGAATACTGAAACATACCCATATGTTGTCCTATGATTGGTTAAAACAATCAACATTGCTGATGCTACTGATCAAAAAATTAATTCATAAATTCTTGTATAAAAAATTTACTCCTAATGTGATATATATTGAATTAAGATGCATAAATATAAGATTGAAATGACAGTTTAAATATAAAAAAAATTTTTTTGACAATGCAATACTAGCAATAATTCAAGACACGTGTGTGTTCTTCGTAAGACAATGTTGGCAAATGGTTTGGAAACCAGTTTCATTGTAGCGATTGGCAAAAGTTAGCATAAGGATGCAGGCTAAGTTACTTATTGTTATTGATTGTGTTAATTTAATGAGTATTTGTGGAAGAATATTTAAACAAGAAAAAAATTCCTCTGATCATATGTTAAGTTATTCATGTATATACTACACATTAAAGTTTAGTGTAGATTTTATATTTAAACACAACGCTGTATTTATTTATATATATATAAATAAATACAGCATTGTTTGTGTGTGTGTGTGTGTATATATAAAAAATATATTTATAAAGATATTCTTCAATGGTTATTGATCATTCACTTTATTTGATGGTTGTTTTACAGATCTAGAAGCTAAATGACTGGAATAAATCACCAGACTTCAGTTTAACCTTTACAAAATATCACAAGAGACTGTGTTTTGTGTAAAACAAAAAAAATGTATCACAAGTGTGGTAATTTGGATTATTAATAAAATTTTAGTGTTGTGTTTTAAATACTTTTTGTAATCTTTTGTCTCCACTTTGCTATATAGTTTTAAACCTTGAAATGAAAGTTATTTGGCTGTAATTTATTCAGTTACGATAATCTGTTTTGTAACCGAGTACTTCTAAATAAAAACGTATGTACGTGCTTAATGGATGTGTGTTCCTCTACGAAAAATAAAATACAATGACTCCAAATATATTTTATTTTCATATATTACATCATTGCTGAGTAATATCTTTAATCAAAAATTAATGTATCGTCTGGTGGTTGCAGAGTTTTTGCTAACATTCGAACTTTTTGAGGCTCGAATAAATTATTTTTGCATCATCGGAGTGCACGGTTTCTTTTTTTCCTCTCTAAATGTTACTGTGCTGTTGTATGTTACAATGCTAAATATAACTTTTTGTACAGATACGAAATTTACCAAAAATATATTTTCCATTAATGTATTAGGTAATATATAAGATTTTCAAAGATATCAGTAGAATAAGATAATGAATGACAATTTTTACATGGTAAGAGGAAACGGGCGTTAGCAGAAACGGAATCTCAAACAATGTCAAAATTCGTTCTGAAACGCTTTTCGAATAGAGCAATGGATGTAAAATAGCATGTGAGTAGAGAAAAACGAAACTTTCACTGCACAAGAGCTAACAAATTCTAGGTCATTAAGTATGAAATTTCTGAAGTGATATAATTTGTAGTATGTGTCCATTGTTAAGTGGATCAGAGCAAAATTTACATCTATAGATATAGACTTTTTGCTTGAAAACTGCAACGTGTCACGAGATGGTGACAAAATCACTTTTGGCAATAAACTTACAGAACTGAGTATTTACAATTTGTTTTTTTTTTTTAAACAGATGAATGATCAGTAATGATTAATAAAAAAATCTTATGGATTATAACATCTCTAACAATGAAATAATATACATATTTTTTAATAAAAAAATTATAAAAACAAACATTCTTTAAAAATATTTTCCTATCGATTATGCAGTTTTACTTGAACTCGCACAACACTGCTGTTTACAAAATACAGTAAAATGTGATGCAGAGATGGTTTATGAAGATAATGCAAAAATTTTAAATGATAAGATACAAAATAGAAAGCTTAATATTGCAAAAATTACACTTAAAAAGCCAAATATGAATGATTTGATGATAATGCCAATTCTTGTTTATTCCACAGAGCCATTCTGAATATTATTGTTAGGTAGCTGTTGTGGAGATTGGGATGGTGATTTGTAAGGTGATCTATCTGATACGGATTCGTTTTGTTTCTCAATTGTTCTATAAAAGAAAACAAATGTGCATGTAGTAATTTACCAACATTTGATGTTGGGATAAACTACTTACTTACCTATTAGCCGAAGTCGATCTGCTTCTGCTACGCGAGGCACTGCTACGACTTGGGCTGCGAGATTTGGAATGGCTTCTGCTGTGGCTCAGAGAGCGTTCCCTGGAACGAGAGCGAGATCGTCTATCCCGAGAACGCGATCTGGGGGAAAAAACACATACACACAGAGAATAAAAATATGATCAAAATTTGATTCTTAGAATGTTTTATACAAATTCTTTTCTACACAAACCTAGAACGATAACGTCTACTGCCTCTTTTGCAATCTCTGGCATAATGTCCTCTTTCTCCACACTCGTAGCATCGATCTTCAGAATGGAATGTTCTCTGCGGGGGATTACGATATGAACTTCTAGATTTTCCTGTAGATAGCTCTACTTTTACTCTTCTACCACACAGAATTCTATAATGAGATTACATTATATTAAGAATTAATAAAATTGGTAATTGAGTGGAAAACATGTGAGCATATACACATTAGAATTAGAACCATATTATATAATAGAACTAGAGATTTTCTTTAGGTGAGACAAAAAAAAATAATAATAATAAACAGTTTCTTTATTTAAAAACAAAAATAGAAAATATTGTTCAAAATGAAAATAAGTGTAGACTTATATTGAAAAATAAGAACCCCTCAAATAGAACTTTCACCAGACGAGGAGGCATACGTTCGACCTGATTTCAGTGCACTTTCTGAAGCCCAAAACAGATTTGATTTTTCTCACTGAATGAGAAAAGTGAACTGAAAGACATCTAAAGAATTTATTTCTTTTTGTATTAAGTTAATTAATTGCTTACATTTACAAAACAACTATTCAGTATTTTTGAGCTGTGTTGAAAAAATGAAACACTGAGATAATTATTGTTTTCCTGTTTGAGTTGTATTTTTATTTCACAATTTTATATCTTTATTATAATAGAATATCCTTAGTCTTTTAATTATCAATAGCATAATCAAAATTATATAATTCACTGTTCTTTACAGTTGGATAAAATTAATATTGAATATAGTTAAGTTCAGGTTATTGTTGGTTTGGCCCTCTTAACACAACTCAGGTTTCTCATGTGGCCCTTTGGAAAAAAATAATTGCTCATCCCTAAACTAAAGTGATTTCTAGTAGTATCTACTGGGTTAACGTTGACCTGGTATCTAAATATCAATTTATGTTTAGCATAAAGTTGATTGTCCCCAAAATATAATCATTTAAAACTGTTATGTAATTTTTTTCTCTCTTAATAAATAAATAATAATTATTTAAACCTTTAAAAATATACATTTAAAAAATAAACTAAAAATAAATAAGATATGCAAATTTTCTGTGTGAATGATTTTTTTAAGGAAATCTAATCTATTAGTGCCTTTATATTTATAGAACACACCTTATATATATATATAATTTTGTTCACATTTAAAATTAACAGATCATCAGATAATGTTTTTAATACTTACTTTCCATTTAAAGCTCTTGAAGCATCACGAGCATCCCGAGAATCTTCAAATTCAACAAAAGCAAATCCAGGAGGGTTACGTGCAACCCAAACGTTTCTCAATGGGCCATAATAACTAAAAGCATCTTCTAATTCATGTTTTGTACCATTATTTCCTAAGTCACCAACATAAACTTTGCAATCCAGAGGACAGCTGTCACGATAACGGGACATGGTTATTCACCTAAAATGAAATTTATTTCCATACATCACAAGAGATAAAAAAAAATGCACTGTTGAAAACAAAACATTAAAAAAAATCAGTAAAACAAAATATGGAATGGTCATACATAAAAAACTGGCACACAAACTGGAACTGTATACTAAACAAACAACTTGACACCTAAGTGCAAATTCCAGCATGTAATGAATAAATAAATGTTAATGTTCAAAAGTTTTCAGCTGTCTTTCAGAGGCCTCTTTCCTGACGAGAGCCTCTGAAAGATGGCCAAAAACATTTGAGCATTAAAATTTATTTGTTCATTATATGCTGGAATTTGCATTTAGGTGTCAAGTTATTTGTTTAATATGGAATGGTATTAAGAAAATCTATTAAAATCTGTGAAAATTTAGGTGGGAATCTATATAATTCCACATATTAATTAATTTGGCAGCAAATCTTTTAATGACAGATTCTAATGTTTTCATACATATTCAATGGCCATCTTTAAGCAATCTCAAATCAAAAATCATAACTAGAACTACAGAATACTCAATGCACAACTCACTAGTTAGTTGAAACTTACAATGTAAAGCCTACCAGTTTAAATTTTATTTCATGATGTTATATAACAGACAACTTTAAATTTTATAACGTTCTCTATAAAGCTTTAGAATGTTTTTTTTTTTTAGCTTTATATTATATTTAACACTAGATGAGGTTTAGCAAATGATGCAACGAACCAAATGAATACCATTATCATCACAAATTAAGCAAGTTTTTAATTCATTCCTTGAGCCAGGTTTTCCTAAATGCATAATTGTGTGTACTTGGGCGGATCTAGGTTTTTCAGGGCCTAGGGCTTATTGAAGTCCAATGAAGCCCCATTTTTTGTTAGATTAAGAATCTTGAAATTGGTGTTTAAAATAACATCAAAATCAGAGTTGAAATATATTTATTTATGAAATGGCATTGAATGACAAATTTTATATCGATAGTGCTCATTGTTAATGAAACAGTATTAAAAATTTATGATAACACTTCAATTTTTATGGGCCCTTGACACTGAGGCCCAGGGCATAAACCCTATTAGTCCTTATATAGATCTGCCCCTGCATGTACTTATTTGAGTAAAAGAAGAATCAAATAAAAGCCTAGATTGATTCATCTTGAAAATCAAGTTTTAAAACTCAAAATGGCAGTAAATTTAATGCAAACAATTATTTTTACTTAAAATCATACAAAAATTTAGAAAATTTAACATATTACAGCATGATTTGTGAATCATAACAAAAACTTTAAGAGTTAGTTATAATGGGTCTCTTTTTATCATTAAAAAACACTTCATATACTTTTTCCAGCAACGCTTTAATTTCTATGAAATAAACATCTCCATAAATGGTTCTGCAAGATAGGAATTTCATTTTTATTCAGCATTTGTTGTCTGGTGTGAATCAAAACCAAAAAGAATTGTTCAATAATGTATGATACTTGGATTGTAACGTTAGATTTATAGATATATTGCTAGTGCAGTACACTGTAATAATGTACAGTATCCAAGAGAATAAACTAATGTTTAAACAATAACATATTGTATATTGTTCTGGGCAGCCTTACAGATGAGAAATGTTAGCTAGTTTCTAAAATTTTGCTAAAAATTTTTTAGTAAAATTAGCTAAAATGCTACAGAAAATATTTTTCCAGCTTAATTAATTAAATCATGCCTAAAAGGAGTATAAAAATATCAATATCCTCTCAAAGAGAGTAAGATAATTAAAGATGAAAAAGTAATATTGTTGGTTAGAAAACATGGATTGGAAGCTAGTAGAGACTCATGTCAGAATTACACTGATGTGAGAACCAGCATGAAGTGAAGTCAAGTTTGTTATATGATTTCATCCAGCAAAACAGATCCATATAAACTAGTACAGTCGACCCCCGTATAACACTGTTGATTTTTCTGTTTTATATGAATTCCATGTTGTATGAGTCATTTAGATTTTACATATACATGAGCCATTCACAGCCCGGCACACGTATTTGTAAAATCTAAGTGACTCGTACAACACAGAATTCATATAAAATGGAAAAATCAACAGTGTTATAGAGGGGTCGACTGTATTTAGCAATTACTAGCTGTTTTAGCAATTAGACTGTATTAGCCAAGGTCTGCATTTATGCCTCCGTAAATAAATTGAAATTGTATTTAGCAATGACCTATTTATCAATGTCAAAATCACAGATGGAATGAATAGGCCCTGTTCCTATTTTTTAATTGATAGAGATGATTACAGATACACATTATCAATCAACAGACAACAGAAAACATTCTCTGTTGCAAAAAAGTAATAGCAACTTGCAATGAAAACCTTACTGAGCAGGTAATAAAAATCCATGTTTATATGATCAGTCTTGGCAAGAATATCATCATAAAATTTTTAAAAATTTTGAGTGATAAGTAACTAATCTCATCTGCTATCAGAAAAAATACTTATGGCGGAAAAACAGCTGGTGTAAGCAAGTATTTGTTTTGCTGTTACATAATGAATGCAAATTAAAATTAATGAAATAGATAATCAAATTAATAATGGGCAAAATAGGTACTCAATGAAAAAATTTGTTAAATATTAATTACATGCAAATTGAGTTATTCACAATATAATTTTTATACAAATCAGTGAAATATAAAAGAATTGGTCATATTCTACATACAGTATTCCACTGGTATTAGACATAAGAGAGTGTAATAGGGTAACGACAACAATTGACACTGTAAGATAACATATTTATAAAAGAATTGGCTGAGAACCTCCTTTAGATGCCACAATAAAAATGCAGAACAGAAAAAAATGAAAATTTGATAATAGAAATATTAATAGAATGGAAAGTACTAGTGATAGGATACTTTCTACTTATAACATAAGCAATTTAAAAATTTACATAAAGCTTAAATATAAATAAAAATTTTGTAAACATTTGAAAATCATCTATATAGAATCAAATAAATTTGAATTAAATTTATTAGTCATATTTCTACACCACCTGTTTGAAACTGGTCACACATTTATTCCTTATTAATTAATTAAGCTATAATTTAATGCATATTAAATTACAGATGTATACTAACAGTTATATCAGATGCTTCTTACAAAGAAAAAAGAAATGTAACAAAACATTGAAATTTCAAAATATTTAGACAAGAATAATGTTCTGTTTCCTTTTAAGCATGTCACTGGTTAAAAACAATTTGAAACTTTGAATTAAATGAGTTTAGAAAAATTTATAGAATAGTTTATAGATTAAACAAAAAGAAACAAATTTGGTTGTTTACTATCTTATTCAGTAAATATTATATTTTTTCCCAAAAGCACTTAATGCTTTCAATAGAACACTTTTAACTCAATCTGACATTATACATATTCAACATAAATGCTCAATATTTCCAGCATTTAATTTTTTATGCAACAATTAAAAAATATTATATTAAATTAAATGGCTTACAATTCCCAACTAATGGTATTACTCGGATTAATATTTAAATTCAAAGTTTTGTGCAGATATTATGTTTACACTTAAAATAATGTGTAGGTTATTCCATTATAAATATCAAGTCTTATGACAGAAAGCATGCATTCAATACAATGCTTATTGACAAAAATGTACATATTGAAAAAAGATAAAAATTTATTACAAACTGTAGAATATAAAGAAGTGAAAATTTTACAATAAGAAAACAGAATATTAGTTACATAGAAACAATAGAATGTGAATTTGGAGAAGAATGCAGATCTCATGAACAGAAATAAATCAAACATGCAAGTTTCGATAGTTGTAAATGTAGAAAAAAGTGCTTGAAGAAAAAATAGACAAATTTATTAAATATATTACAAATGATTTATTAAAGAAAATTACTGAATGGAAAATATTGGAAAAGAGAAAAGGAAAATGCATAATAAACAACAAGGAAAATTTAATATATGATCTGAATTTTCAAAAAGAAAACAAATTATGAAAATATAGAGTAGCAAATGAAAGAGATTTATGGTTGAGTGATAAGATGAAATCTGCAGAATGTAGATGAATAGATAATAGAAATTAAAAATACTAGTTATATACAGAAATGAGGAATTTATTAAGATATTTATTATCAATCAAATATAAAACAGATTCTGAAACTCAAATATATCCATTCCTATATTATTTTATTATTACATATGCCTTTTTATTTTTCAACATATACAAAGTGAAAAAACTAAAAAAAGAAACTTATTAATTCAAATTGTTTCAAAATTTTAATAAGTACAATATGAATATTTAGCATTTGTTTTATTTGATAATTTACTTCTTGCATGCTAAAAATCACAATATTCATTTTCTGAATTACATTAAGTGAAAATTATTGAATTTATTCATTAAAACAAATTATTTAATGACCATAAGTAATGTCAGGTCAGTAATTTTAATCATATTTTGTATCATCAGCCTAAAACAGAATATTACATTTATAATAGTATTTTAACATTATAATGGAACATTTTATAATGAAAAATACCTATATATTAACTTGCTATTAAGATAACATTTACATGATAATTTATTAATTTAAAGTTTATGATAAAAAATTTACATACATATTTTTTAAAATAAATCATTTAGGCAATCAGCCAAACTGCAGTTTTGTAAGTTTTCCTGCAGCTGCATTTTCAAAAAACATTATTCAAATTCCAAAATATTTTTTAAAACTAAAATTGATTTAACATTTACAATTTGAATAATTTTAAAAAATTTGTCATAAAAGATTAATACATCTTAGTTATGCTAATATAGTCATTATTTTAATTATTCTATTTAAAATAAATAACTATATTACATTTAAACGTACAATATATATGTATAATTGATATAATTGCTTATAATTGATATGATTGCATAGATGTATGCATTTATATTAATTAAAAAGATACAATTTCACATTGAAAGAGGTTACAAAATCTTAAGGAAAGCAATTATTTATTGTGAAATTG